GGAGAGGCTTTGATTTTCTTGGCTGCTTTTGTCTTCTTTTTATTCCTTCTCTTCTTGGCTGAAGGCTTAGTGGAGGGAATATCTGGGAACGCTGTTTCGGATGCCGAGGCCTCCTCATCAGGTTCTGTTGTTTCAGGAACGCTGGGCTCGGGAACGGGCACAGGCTCTTCAGTCTCAGATGTTTCGGGGGCGCTGGGCTCGGGAGCGGGCACAGGCGCTGGCGAAGTTGCTAAGTCCTTCTTGGGAGTCGGGGTGGGATCATTCTTGGCCATTAAGTCCAGGAAATAATTCACATCGTAGCGTCGAAGTCTCGCCCTGAGATCTTCGCACATCTTAGTGGCGTCGTCCATTGCAACATCTAAGGAAGCTGATATATTAGGTGAGGAGTCTTGACTACGGCCGGGAGGTGAAACCTTCCCGTCGCTGGCAGTTCGATGATAAGGCATGATTCTGAATCGTCGGAGCTTGATTGAGCACAACCTACTCTCAGTTCAGTTGGCTATCGATGTCAATCAAAAGCACCAGATTCTGAGCCCAATGTGTTGATTCATTTGTCTGCATCCATGTCATCATCATATTCTGAACACCCTGGTTGGCACGTTCGATGGAACCTTGGCTTTGGCTATGCCTCAGTTTCCCGTGAACAAGCTTCAATTCCGGCCACATGTTTTTCAGTTCATTTATAACTTGGTTTACAAATTCTCTCCATTATCTGATTGGAGCACCTATGGTGGTGATGATATCAAGTAACTGGTAAGCAACTTCTTCTGCTCTTTGACTTTTCAGAAGTCGTAATAATATAAACTTGGTTAAATGATCCTGGTAATTGAGTATAAACTTGTGATCTCCATCAGGGTTCGTCTGCATATCAATGAGATCCACCAGGCATCTGGAATTTAATTCTTTACATATGTGAAAGGTTTGGAAAGTAGACCTTTCTTAGGATTGGATAGTTTGGTTTGGCATGGCTTGCATAAGCGTAGATATAATGTAATCACTTCTTTCGTTCCATTTGTTTACTTAGTTTTTAGCTCCTTTTCCATCTTTTTGCGACCTCTTTATCCAATTTTCAAGTGGGTGTCGAGCAGTATATCGAATAGTTCTTCTGTGTGTGCATAATACAAGATAACACAATTATCTCCTGTTACTGGCACGATAAATCTATGCCGTTAACTTCAATAACATCATATTTTCTCAGTCGACGATAATCAACGCTTTGTTTTTTCTGCTTTACGTCTTCTACAAAAGTGCGGTATTTGTCTCTGGTGAGGATCCCGCCATTATCTGCTTTTTGTTGCAGCAACGTGTGCAGGGTGTCAGAGAACCTTGTTTTAATATCAAGTGCTACTTCACTGACATCGCCCTGCGTATTAGTCCCCTCAGAAGTAGCCATGGGGCAGCCTATGAAAAAACGATATAGAATACTATAAAAATACGAGGAAAACAGCACTCAACTCACAGTGAAATTGCTGTGGAAGAATCGAGAAGCAGCAGACAAATGTCGCCACGTGGCACATTCCCTCCGGAATTGCAGATGCGCCGCCTACCGGGCATTCTTGAATGAGCACATCGCGTTTTGGCCGGAACATCGTGGCCACTTCGCGAAATGGCCGGCCAAAGTAGAATATTCACTGATCGTTTCAATTATTTCGCACTTTGGCCGAGAGGTATGGCCAATTCGCGAAGTGGCAGGACTTCGGAGTTTGGCCGTAACATATATATCAAAATGCCATATAACATTTACTAAGTTATACAGTTTTATTGAAAAAAAAGGCGTGAATTTTATAAAATCTTATGATTATGCATCACAATCGCTATCTTTTTTCAGGTCCTCCTTTGCTTGATCACCCAAGAGACTCGAAGTGAGGTGTAAAGGCAATTAGCCCTACAACTCTTCATAAATTTATGAAAATTTGGAAATGACGTTGAAACAGCTTTAAAAAAAATAATGTCAGATAAAAAGTTCAACCGTAAGATTCTAAAATTCTTTTAAAATTAAAAATAATTTATCAATCGATTTAAATTTCCTTTTCAAAGGAGATAAAAAATCTGTTCTCTTTGCTCAGACAACAACCCGAAAATTTCTTTGGGTTGCTTAGCAACGAGAAGCATTATGTTTTCCCGTCTTGTCATTCATTCAGTTTCTTAATGGTTGTTATTAGTTACAAACCTTCGGCAGTTATATAAATCCTTATTGCGAACCAATTTAGGACCCATTTTTTCAAGTGTCAAGATTCGAAATATGTAAAAAAGAAAATATATGTTTATTCAGAGAAAGTACGTTTTTGTGTCTGATTTCGTAACTTAACCCTTTTTAAGGCAGTGGTAAGTATCCACCACGTTTTACCACTTTTAATTCAAGTTTCCATTTTTCAATAACTTCAGCTTTCTTGAAGTGAGTTTGAATAAAATTGGTAACCATTTGTCACTTTTAAAAAACGTATAAAAGTTATAAAATACACAATTCCTTATGAAGTTTGTAGCATTTAAGGAATTTATTTTGTAAATAAAGAAAAATAAAAGTCAGTAAGTTCCTAATAGGTCATGTTAAATATATTAACTACCAAAAAAATGGCATTTTTATAAACTAAATGAGTTTTTTTATATATATATCAGTTACTGTTCTTAAAACAATTCCAAAAATACTGTAATTTACCTTTGCTAGAAATAAAGTGCCCATTAAAGGGTTAATTAATAGTTAGCACTAATTAATTAGCACATTTGAGTTCACACCCAGGAACCATTAAGATTGACTATTATTTCGTGAAAATTCGACCACTACAACGAAAGTTATTCAGTGTGATTTTTTTTTTTTTTGAGGTATACCTTCCAGCATTCGCAACTTCCTTAACAAATGTGACAGTTTGTGGTCTTCTAATTGTAATTCAAATTGTTTATTTTCAGAGTCTGTATATTCCGCGATGACGGAGTTTTCTCCGAGGCTTCTTCCTTTTATGCCCCCGTGAGACAGGGATCTGCTTTTGATGGAGAGATAGCTTTAGTCCAGTTACAGTGTCATATCGATCTTTTTGTAAAAGCTGTTGTCCTATGTGACTCAAGAGCTGCTTTGCTTGCCACTGCATCCTTAAATAATCCCTTAACTCGAGACAATTTGGATTGCTACCTCCAACTTGTAAACCTAGCTTCTCTTAAGAAAACCATTGTTCTCCAGTGGGTTCCTGCCCATTGCGGGGTTACGGGTAATGAAAATGCAGACTACTTAGCAAAAAAAGGGGTCTTAATTATTCAGACTTCTGCGCACATTATGCTGTTGTGTCACAACAACCAGAAATAAGACGTGAGTTGTACCAAACAATTTATTTAAACATTCACACGAAAAATCACAAAAAATTACCCAAAAGAAATCTCTTCTCAGAAAAAAACTCACTTTCTCAACAACACAAAAAAAAACATGACTTCTCGTGTGTGTCTCTCAAGTAACAT